TTACCTTGTAACCCTCATGTGACAAAATGTTAAGATGCACACTGAAACAGCAAATGTTTTTTCGTCAAATACACAGAACACATTATTATAATAAAATAGTTACGCGAAGTTAAATATTGATCTTAAAAGAACCATATATATTATTGACGTAATTCGTTGTAATTCTCTACTCCATATCCGCCGGAAAAAGTTTATAGAAATAAAAATACGTAATTGAGCACACAAATTGACTTCGGCAAAATTAATGATTCCTAGGAAGTCTATGTCTTTCTATACGCTTGCGATAAGAGAGAGAAAAAAGAGCTAGACGGCGATTATAAAGGCGGCACGTGTCTCTTTGCAAGACTACACGCTGGCAAGCACATGACCGCCGAAAGCTAACCCGACGACGAGAAGAATTGAACGCGGAGCACAATTAATTTATTGTTTGCTCCGGTCGGAATGACAATCGGGGGGGTAGCGCGATAAAAAAAGCGGGGTATCGTTTGCTTCGCCCGTGTTTGTGCGTGGGGCGAGATCCACCTCCTGGTTGGAAGTTGCGCGATCGTCTTTGTGCGCGATTCCATCTCGCACGATCTCACTCGTCTAATCTAATCGTGAGAATCTCTTCCGAAGCTGAAATATTCATTATTACCGCTCAACGCTCCAATGTCTTGGCAAAGATTTTCACATCGATTGTTCAGTTTCGATCTATTGTTTCCTCTTATTACGCGTACTAGGTATAACTTTGGAATATGCGTGAACGTAAGAATATATGCGTAACTCAATTGCTTAATGTTGCACTTATTGACAGGCTGACACTGACACAACATTTTTGAAGAAACTTTTATAATTTTTTTTTTTTTTTTTTTTGCATAAATATAATTTCGTTAAATCAACAAAATAAAGAGAGATGTATATGTATATAAACCATACATTTTTTTATATGTACATTTTTTTATAAACTATTTCGTCAAATTATACAAGAGTTACGTAGTAAGAATTCAGTGTTTATTTTTGCATAGCGGTATAAGATCTTATCTGAAAAAAATTGTTATTCTTCGGAAACATAAATGTTTTTTTTTTGTTTTGTATATATACATATTATTATAAGTGATTATAGAGACGGAAATAGTTTTTTTCTTTTCTCAATGACAATAATCTTATACAATAGTGAGAAGTAACACATTATACCTTCTCTCTTGAAACGAGAGATCAGTAAACCTGTTGTAACATAAATATATAACAGCTTTTGTGTGGCAGATAGGCTCTGAAAAATGTGTAAAATATTTTCTTAAAAAAACAATTTTTATTTTGCTTAAGAAAGATCCGAAAAAAAGACTCTTTTTTACCTACTTTACTATCGTAACTCCTATTATATAGTAGAATGAGAGGTTCATCAGAGAGTCAAAATTTCGACTCGGGTCGTAGCTAATCTTTTTAACTTAAATATTTATCCAATACACTTTATAAACATAGTTTAAAGATTTTGTATTTGTGAGTATCGGGTTTTTATATTGTTACTCTATTTCTCTTTAAAAGAAGAAAAGAAGTGCAGATAATCGGATGTAACTAAAATAAGAAGCATTTTTTCTCAAGTAATAAAGTGTTGAAAAATCTTTAAAAAAAAAAACTAGTGGAATAAAAATAGAAAACAAAACGTACGACATATGTTTCAGAGGAAAATATGATATATTTTCTTGTACATGTATATATATATATATGTATATATATATATATATAGATATATGCAGTGTGCGCTATAGTTTTACAATATTTACAAGAACCTATTAAATCAAAACGTATGTCTTTCGAAAACATTGTATTATAACAAAGAAGACATCATTCTCATACACGCACCAAACATCCGCTCGCTTTACTCGACTCTTTCTATATTTCCTTTAATATTTACAAGATGTACGGCCTTGAACTTCATTATGAAATCTTACATTTTACATTGATATAAATACTAACTGCATATGTATATTTTCTGGGGTATCGGTTTAATAAATAACGACTAAGTGTTTGTTTTCTCTCTCTCTCTCTCTGTGTTAATTACAAAATATGTATCTTGCGATTGAAGTATACTGGGTATTTCGCTCTACGCGCATTTTTTATAATTTATATATACAATATATTTATATACTACTCTTTTTTTTATCGTATTATATATATGTATGTAAATACTCAAATATATACAAAATATCCAAAAAAATTATACTTACATATTATATCAGTGTCGATTTCAAATAGTTTTAATAATATTCTAGAATAAATAATTAAAAGTAAAAAGATATGGAAAAATTTAGAAACAACATATAATACTAAATGTTTAAAAAAAGAATACCAACTTACTGCTAGGTAGAAAAACAATCCGTAGACTCAATATACTTTAACCGACAAGATCATCATTTTTTTAAAAAAAATCTTGTATTTGACATTGCAAAAAATGCTTTATCGTTACTTTACATTCAGATGTTAAGATTCTAGAATAACGAAGATTATAAGTAACTGAAATAATTGATTACATGTCTTATTAAGTGATACTTTCAATATATGCAGGACTATATTAAATTTAATGAAGAATTTTTTAATAATATTAGTAGAGAAGACGATATAGAAACGAAATATTGAATGAGTGTAAAAATTTCAATAAATTTTGTGATAGAAAAATGAGCAAGTAATTTTATTAAAACCAATTTATATACCAAGTAACTTCCATTGTTTTCTATTATCTTTTGTACATTTTTCTATCACGAAATTGATCGAACCTTTTGCACTTATAAATTAAAAATTTGTTTTATAAATTTTAACTATGCACCAGTAAAACTTTGCCAATTAAAATGTTGATCTTGTTAACTTAATTAGAAAAATACTCTTTTAAAACACTCTGCATGTAAGCATAAATAAAAATATAACGATATAGTTTTTTCAATACAATAATTTTTTTCTGATTTAGCAAGAGTTTTAGATAAAAAGAATTTTAGAACGCGTTTTTCTCTTTGGTCGAGTGGCACAAAGCACCAGTCAGTCTTCGCGGATCGATGTATAAGTGCTATTATATACAGTATATTTTACGTTGATTAATTATATATATATATATATATATATATATAATTTACACGCTACGATATTTACATACGTTACGAATTTCTTATAATGATAATGTACAGTATTTAACTCCGATAGCCTTGTTATATATTTTAGTTTATTTTTTATAACACTAGAATACAAAACGCTCGGAGGTGAAAAATTGAAGGTTTTTAAGATATTTATATTATTTTGTCTGCTCTCATTTTATATCTTAGTTTTTTTTTTGTTATAAATATTTTACATTTACTCCTGGTCGAGATAATAATTACTCTAGTAATGTCTGTGTAAAATTTACTTATAAGAAGAGAACAGAGAATTATATATAAAAAATGCAAGTGTAATCCAGAATAATTATTTAAAATTAAAAAATCAATTTCATGTCAATAAAATTTGTGTAACAGTATACTTGTTACTTTATAGTTTTAATACACCCAAAATAATTTATACAATACTATAAAACTCACACAAAATCTTGATTCGCATTTTTATCAAATTATTTTAATCCTACCTTCAACTTTTCAAGATATCACTTTTAATTTTGTTAGTTTTTAAAACTAATTAATATATACTATTAAGTGTGTTCACATATGTTGAATTATCATAGATGAATTATCATTCAATCCTCGCGTCCAGCGCGTTCTTCATTTATTTATAATATCTTTTTATAATGATATTTGCATTTTGCTCACTATTGAGAAATGTTTACAGTAATCGAACGTCCGCTATTCTCAAAACCGCTTTTCTTGGACAAAAATTTTGAATGCTATTCTTGACGTATTCTTCTTGCTATCCGCTATTTTTCGTACACCACTACTTCGCGCAAGCGTAGAGTTATTATCTAAGAATAAAGGTAGAAAGAACACACAGTAAGAAGAATAGCGGTGTTTTTGACTCTGTAATTAGATTTATAATATCGCGAGAAACGAAGAATTACATGTCACGTTTCAAGATATGTGATACGTATACGCGTACCAGCATATACTGCCAGTATATAAACTAAATAGTCTAATCTTGAGATAAAAATTTAGTTGGCTAAACATTTGCGCGTGTATTGCAATAGTACTTAATTTAAATATCTGGACACTCAACATTATATTTTCTTACGAAAGTATCCTTTGTGATTATTTTTTTAAAAGATTTTTACAGAAACTTAATTCTCTCTCTCTCTCTCTCTCCCTCTCCCTCTCTCTCTTTCTCTCTCTCTCTACGTTTTATTAAAAGTAATCTTATTGTTTGCTCTGTAGTAGCACAAATTTTCTTCAACAAAAAGACCAAAAAAAAGTTGGTTTTTTAAATAAAAAAGATTATTGTGTATGTACATATAATCTTTTATAAAAATTTTGTATCTCTTTAAAATTGTGCTAAAAATATAATTAAGTGAAAATTAAATATGTAAATAGACAAATGCATAATAATAGCATAAGCAAATTTATATATATATATATATATATGTGTGTGTGTGTGTGTGTATGTTATAAGTTTTTACGTTTCGAAATTGCGAAACACATATATATTTTCGTGTTTTTTTTATTATCTTATTAAAAATAAATAGAAAGTTAATGTTACTTTTTTCACTATCACAGAAATTCTACTTTGCAATATAAGAATACAAGTAAAAAAGAAAAACATGCGCGACGTAGAATTTTTAATGAGCAAAATTGGTTAGATGTTTCCTTTAAGCCACAGATGGACAATATGGTGATATCCTACTTCATATCTTCTTCTTTATTGAGAATTATGTGAGAAGCATCTGTTACAAAAAAAAAATGTAAATAATATATATTTTATAATTTATATTTTCAAATATGAATAATAATATATTTTTTTTTGCATCGCGCGCACGTTTTTTTTATATCGAACTTTTGAAAATTATTTCACTATTAAAAAACATTTCACACGTGTAAAAGTCTATTAATAACAATCCTAATATCGGAGCACGACTATAACGATTGTGATGAGAGCTTTAGGTTTTTTTGTTATATAAAATTTAGTTATTATATTTATATTAAAATAAACAATTATATGTCTGTAGAGAGTTCCTCATTACGTCTGTGATATTTAGACTGTGTTGTTACCTTTTAGGTCGTGACGCTTTTGTCCTCCGTTTTCCACTGCCGTTTGCAGGGTGCGACGTAGGTGGCGTCTGACTCTGACGTGCTGTAGGTTGTTCCGTTGTTCATTAACGGATAATCAGCGTACCGCTCCTCGCTGCATTCTGACGCTACGCATTGATGTTGCTGATGTTGATGATGATAATGACGACGATGATGATGATGATTGTGATGCCCGCACGTTTCATCGTCGCAAGCGGCGTCGAAGTGCTACGCGCAGGGCACCTCGAACTGATGTCAGTGAACAAACTGATGATGCGTCTCGTAATGAGGTTGATGGGGCACCGGCGGGGTACCGTTGTTTACCGATGCCGTCGAATGTGCGTGTAGATCTTGAGGAACAGTGCCGGGACTGTAACGTTGTTGAGAATCGACGATGACGCTAGTGTAGCCGGCGGTCGACGAAGCTTCTAGATGATGATGGTGCGGATGCTTTGCTGTCGCGTTGCCGTTGCTATGATGACCTTGGAGATGACCCTGCTGATAGCCGTCGTGATGCTGAAGTGTCGCGGTGGTGTAATTCTCATTATTGTTGAAGCCGCAGTTCTGGTACATGATGACACCTCCCTCGCTCAGCGAAGCCGATGAGGTCGAGTCGGCCGGTATGTGGTGATGATGCGAGGAATAGGGCAGCAGACTCAGAGAGTTTGCCAAATGCGCCTCCAGACCGTCGGTGCTGCCGCAAGAACTCGAGGATGTTGAATACGGTCGTTTCTGTTGGCCGCTCTGCGGACTGTGTTGCTGCTGCTGTTGCTCGAGAGTCGTCAGTGATGTCGCGTGATGCAGTAGATGCTGAGGATGCCGTTTCTGCGGATTGTTCTGCGGACTTTGTTGCTGTTGCTGAATCGTCATGGACGTCGCATGATGCAGAAGATGCTGATGATGATGCGTTTCTTGCTGGTGTTGCAAACTGTTGACGGGATCTTGATGGAGATCTTGGAGGATAGAAGATATTTATCGGTTTGAATTCGAAACTCATTGTCTCATATTTGTGATAAAAAGTTCCTTGAAAGACTAATGAAAAAAGAAAAAAAAAACAATCAAAACAAATAAAAATAAAAACATTTTTTCTCTTTTCATTTGTATAATTAAGAAACATCAAATTTCATATCTTACGTGATACTGATGTTTTTCAATGAAGAGTATTCAAACAATTTTTCGTAATGCGTATGCACAATATTTTTTTTTCACCTTTTTTTTTTTGACAATGTCAGACTGATGAGAATCGCACATTTGCATTCATACTTTGTCATTGAACCGAAGACTTGAAACAATGTTATAAAAACAATAAAAATACACAGAACAAAAAAATCAGTTTTTAAAAAGAAATGGATAATAGTAAAAAAAAAATAAACTCTTATTAATTAACAAATAAAGCTTATTGAAGCTCGATAAGTTACTAAACTAAGAAATAATTACCGGTCATCCGAGCCGATCGCAGAATGTTGTGCGGAAAACTACGTGTATATATATATATATATATGCGTATATATATTTGTTCGAGTGTAAATTTTTACACGCGAGTTTTTTGAATTGAATATCAATTCTTAAAATTCATATTGGATGCTAGATTTGCATCAC